ACCATCCATTCTGGACAATCCGCGTTGATTATTAATATTAAATATTAATACTTCTAGTCGTATACTCTTGCTAGAGTAAAAGTGGTCTTGTCGCGCCCCAGCTACGTTTTTCTTTTCTTTTTGTTTTTCACCGGGACGTGCATAGGCAATACAGAGTGCTTTCAGGCGCATTTTGTATTTCTTGTGTTCTTGATATGCGATAGTACTAACCTAACAAAACTTGTCCTTATATTTCTCATTTGGTATGTCTTAGTCTTATTTTACTTAAAAAAGAAAATAATAATAACAGTAATAATAATAATAATAATAATTAACCGTAGTAATAATAATAATGAATGGGAGAATGAAAGAGAGAGAGAGAGAGAGAGAGAAAGAGAAAATGAAAGAGAGAGAATGTAAGAAAGTGCTATGTAATAGTTGCTTAATACGATTGGTTGAATAAGAAAGAGACAGATAGATAGGAAGATAGAGAGAGACACACAATGAAACTCGAGGACAGTTTTAAATTAATGAGTAGTGAAAGAATGAACAGATCTATCATCGATGGTGTTGAATAGTTCACGAATAAAAATATCGAATGGTGCAAAGTTATCGTATAAAATGATATACTTATATGTGGTAAAATGGTCGGTCCAGAGCACTCGTAAAGTAATCGAAAAGATTATCCACTTGTCTTAATTTCGACAGCGATAAACGATACATGTACATATATATGTATAATATAATATATCCACTAAAAAAAAAAGAAAAAAAAAGGCAAAACAGCATCCTCGCATTCCTGGAAAATACTAGTGTTCATCATTTGAACGTCTAACGCTATTATTTCATCCCTTGCTCGCGGAGCGATTTACCGTTTTTTTTTTTCTTCCTTTAAACATCATCTTTATCATTAATAGTCAGTCGATTTTAGAATTTTCCTCTCGAGACAAAGAGATATATGTATAATATATGTATAATATTCTCGGCGTGCTCACATTTTTCCATGCATTCCATCGCTCTATTTAACCTACGCTTACTGTATGTACACACTTCACAGTACCACTTTTTCCTTTCTTTCTTTCCTTCCCTTTTCTCGTTTCCATCTCTCTTCGATAAATACCGACGAAGAATCTCTCGAAACGACGCACGCATGCGTGTTTCTTTCTACGTGCCCGGCTTTTACACAGTTTTACACACCAAAATTTCTCCTCTGGATTACTTTACAAGTACCCCTCCTCTCTTCGTACGAGTCCACTCGAACGCAACTAAGTCTTATATCGTCGAAAAATATCATATCGAGAATACCTCTACTATACTATTAGTTCTTACTTAATGTTTGTTTTTTTGTTTGTTATTTTTTTTCTTTTGTTACCTCCAGCGAACAGGAATACTCATTTTTTTTTTATATCCAGTCAAAAGTGTCTCCGTGGAGAGTACGATTTAAATGACGCACGCGCGCGCGCGCGCACGCCGACATCTTTCTTTTTCTTTCATTTTGCGTCTTTTAACAGCGTCTCGAACAATTTCTTTTCTCTTACGAAAACGTTAAACTTAAACGCGAAATTTCGCGAGTTGGTGCGCACCAACCAAAAGGCATTATCGATTGATCAGCGCGAATCGTCGCATCGATACCCTTTCCTTTCGTTTTCCCATTCGTATTTCTTTTTGCTCTTTCACTCTTTTTTTCTCTATACAAGCGAAAGACTGGAACGCGATTTCATGACACTGAAAAACAGCGTGCCTCTCCTTCGTTCACCCTTCGTTTCTTCTTTCGTACGTTATCTTTTTCTTTGTTAAAATAGCGATTAAACGCACACTTTGTGACAAATAAGATTATTAATTTTAGGTCTTACTATTGCACCGATATTTACAATGGACGTTTATGCATGTATCTCCTTTCCAAGCGATCTTTGATATCGATCCAGCAATCAGTGCTTAAATAAAAGCCCCTTAAGATGTCTACGACATACATATAAAGAGAAAAGAAAAGAAAAGTGAAAAAAAGAAAGAATGCTCGCGCGTAATATGTATCTAAACGACACTTCTAAAATATATCATCTTCTACGTGCAATAAATTCTACATGTATACTGTTGTAAAAACAGATGGAAAGAGAGACAGAGAGAACAATAGAAGTAGAGAGTTAGAGCGAAAGAAAAAAATAGTAGAGAAAAATAGAATTGTACCGTTTCTTTCTTCTCTTCGCGCATAGAATCCAATTTTATCGAACCGTTTCACGTGTTCAAAAGCAATTCCTCGCGAAAAAATGGTGGCCGCAGGGGCGCAGCATCTTCGAGATTGGCAACATCACCATTCAATGGACGTGTTTCGATGAAAGAAACAGGAAACGGAAAAAAAAATAAGAGATAGAACTGTATATAGTACAAATTAATCTCCTGACGGCGAATTTGCATAATCGTTTAAAAAACGTCTCTAACGCTCGAACGATTTAAAGCTCGCGTTGCATAAGTGTATTTTCAATAAACGCTCAAACATACGCTCGTGCAATGTTTGTTTAAAACGACGATCGCACGAGAAGAGAACGTATCTATTCTCGAAGAACTTTGTCACTCTGTCTGGGACCACTATACTGACGGGTTCTACTGGGTGAATAATATTGTCGCTCTTTACGTGCTACCATACAGACACATGCGGCAGAAAATAGTCTAGGCATTCTTTTCGCGATACACCCTACATCGTTATTCAAAAGGAACTTCGATTGAACTTTATTACACGTTTCTTTCTTTTGTTTCATTATCTGTTTTCCGCTTCATCTTCTTCCTTCTCCTCCTCTTCGTCTTCTTCCTCTTTTTTTGCCTTTTTCTCCTGCTTTTCTTTTTCTCGTTTTGTCACGAAGGCCAAATTGTACACGACCGATATCGGCTAACGACGTTAGATTTACAAGAGAACCAATTTTGAAGTAACGAAGAACCGTATCGCTAGGTACTAACTGTTTTCTTGTAAAGAAGGAATCGTTCTTTAGTTCTCGACACTCTGTTCTCGTTTTTACTCGGAAAATATACATGGCTGGCGTTGCATCCATGCAACGGGAGACTCCGCAGCCGGATCCAAAGGCAAGAATGATCGAACGAAACCTCTTAAACTTGGCAAAGATCCCCGTGTGAAAAAAAGATCATCCTCTTTAGATCCCCTGGAACTCTGCTCTATCATTTTCATTTGTCAGTTTAACTTCTTTCTATCGGTGTATCAAATGCAACTCCAGCCACAATGCCACGACGATGATCGTACACGCGAGATTGTCTAAAGCTACTCTGCTGGCGTGGGCTGGCGTGCGCGGAGAGTCAACGAACGGGCCAAGGCAGCGACGTCTACGCCACCAAACATTGACGACGACGACGTGAATAATAATTATATACGAACAACACACGGACGCGTTTTTCCACCCTTTTCTTTTCGTACTATTCTTCTTTACTTCTTCATTCTACTTCAAATGAAAATTCGTGAGAAAGCGAGTGAACACGCTTGAATAGAATCTGCGCGGGCACAGCTCGGATCTGTAGCTAGCGCTCGGTGCACGGGGATTCGCCGGTTGCAGATAAGGCCTGAATAGTTAGGGTTTACTGTTATCATTGTTTAACGATAACGGATCGGTGATCTTCTGTTGTTGCTGTTGTTGTTGCTGCTGCTGCTGCTGTTGCTGTTGCTGCTGCTGCGTCACCTCACTAACCGCACCGCCGCTCATTAGCTTCGCATTGTTGTTCTCCGTGTTCGAGATTTTCGCGTACTCCCGTTTACGAGGCATGTTCTCCGTCTTCACGATCGTGATGTCTGGATTGTTCTCAAGAACAGAGGTGGCTGCTTTTGGAACAGGCGTCGGCACTTCGATGTAACCGCCGCCTTCTCTCTTGATTGGTGTAGAGCTGGCAACTGCCGTCGTAGCCGCATTAGCGTTGATCTTCTGAAGGATGTCGTTCATCGCGTCGTTGTTCTCTGGTGCCTCGTTGTTACCATCGACGGCGCCAGACGCTACGCTCAGGTCACCGGCCAGAGAAATTCTGTCAGGGCCCTGAAGCGTCGACAGGTAGGTCGCCAGCGTGTGGACGGTGACGTTGAGGAACTCGGCAGCGCGGAATAACGTGATCTCTTTCCTTCGTAGCTTCGCCAGCACTTCTGCTGGCCCGGGCTCCGACCAAAAGTCCCTTACTCTGTCAACAGATTCGTTATCGGTTAAAACTTTTTCACAGGAATATCTACTTAACGAATGATCTTCACATGGTGGTAAAAATGAAGCCGAAGAAAGCAGGTCAATGGACGATTTCACTCACCAAAGCACGTGTGTCTCAAAATTCGTTCTCAGGAAAATTTCATTATTTACGCTGCTCTATTCGATTAGCACGATGAAAGAAAGAATGATCGTTTCGAAATGAAAAAATCCTGGGGAACCGAAAGGCTCATACGCTTGTAAAACACTCGGAAAGAAGAATGCAGCAACCGGTCGCGACAAAGGCAATCAAGAAGTAGAAACCGTCAACAGTCGTCTTCCATTACCTATACGGATGTTTCAGGCAACCATAACTGTCGCGATATCTGCCGTAGAGGGTTCCATAGGACACGCCAAGTATCTCGGCGGCAGTCTTCATTTCCAGTTCTTTGCTTTTAATGGCATCCATAACGCGTCGCGTGAACGGCTCCTCCCAGAACTCTTGGCGACGTCCCGTCGTCAGGTAGTCGTTCATCTTCACGACGTCTCGGAATTGTTCGGGGATCGATAGATTCGTGGCGTTGGAATTCGAGGGAGTGATAGGCGCTGCAGCGAAATCAAACGAGCTTAGCACACTCCAATTAATTTCCCTATTCTTTACTCTTTACTCTTCTTTATTAGACACACACGTTGATTTTATTTTACACATCGTTCCGCGCCTTTAAACTGAACAATGTGGAGTCACGTACCTTTCTTTTCTAGATCGGATGTGTTGTCATCCTTGGACATGTACGATAGCTGCAAAGTATAATACACGATTGTTAATACAGCACCGTGGGCGTGTTATAAAGCGATCAGAGATTAAGAAGTATCTTACCACCGGCAGTGGCGTTTCGTTACTTTCGTTCATCATCATCTCGTCGTCCCAGCTCTCGTGGTCACCGCCCTCGCTCAACATTTCCTCCTGGGAAATCGAACAGGTTTTGAACAGACGCGTCAAAGGAAACACCATTTCGTGACTGTCGATTGCAATCGATATAACATGGAAATAGTATAAAAAAAAAAAAAAAAGAAAGGAGAATGGAAAAGAAATTCGAATGACTCGATCTCGATCGTACAATCTATATAATATCTACCGATTACTGTTCACAAATATTTTTCTTCCAATTCTTTCCGTTTTTGTTTTCGTTGCTTCACTGGGAGATTAAATAAAATTCATTTCCGAGATAAAATTGCAAGATACGAAGAACACGACTGAAGAAATATTTGTGCGTGACAGCGAAACAGCTAAGCCATACTCGACGTACATTTCCGGTGATGCAGGTAATTTTCGGGGTGAAGACGTCGTGTGCCGAGGGCGGATCGTCCAGAGGTGGGCGGCCTCTGCGTCTTTGCTTCGGAGGCGGAGGCTCGTCGGCGTCGCCTTCCCTGAGGACCGTCTCGACACCTGGAGTCGCCGCACCGGGACTGTGACCGCTGTTTCCAAGATCGTTTTGCGTGGAATCGCTACGCCAGCTCACCTCGGCCAAACCCTTGATGTGCAAATCCTCCGCGGTTTTCAGCAGGGATGACAATCTCGTCTGAAACCATCGACGGACGACTTTTAATCACGCCCAGCAAAACACAGAATATCTCTTTGAAAAGATGCGCGCAGACATATACTGTTTCCCTGACTCTTTGACAGACGGAGGCAGAGGTCTTTTGTAGTTTAATCATTTTCAAAGGTTGCGGATAGGACGAGGAAAAAAGCATTTCGAATGAAATCACGAACAGGAAAAACGTGGAAAGAAAGTGGAATTTCTATATCCTACGATTAATCAAGGTAAGTGTCCCCTCGCTTTTTCCCTCGATATTAGCCGGAGTGGTTTAACCGTTCCTGGCAAGAGTTACCGAGCAATATTTTTAACCGATCCGCTTTCAATATTTCCACGAAGGTTCAAGGCATAAATGGTATAATATGCGGCACCGACGTCGTTTCAATGGTTTTTGGCACGAGACCTGCTGGCTACAGTCATTCGCATCATATCGGCGTAATCAAAAACGACGTATACACAGCGAAGAAGGAATAGCGTTGATAAATCAAAAACATTCAACGCGTCTTCATCAACGTACGCCACCTTTGGTAAAAGAAACGAGTCAGAAGAACACTATTTCGAATAGGGAAATTTTCGAAAAGATCGCTCTTCTATCGTGACAGACTGTAAAGGTACCGCCATGCTATTTTCTCACGTGGAACATGCTTCCTCGGGGGATTCTCAGGCAGCAGCAGCAGCAGCAGCAGCAGCAGCAATAAGAAATTCGCTAGAGTAAAGAAGGCGGAGCTCGGTAAATCTAATTATCCGCGGAGCAAAAAGTCGTAGGAAAAAACGATCACGCGGGCAGGCAGAGGTAAAAATTAGTAATTCCATTAATCTCGGCCGCTTCAATTTTCCGGGCAATGCGCGCTGCGCCACCCGCGAAGCCTGCCTAGCGATACGCTGGGATTTCGAGACGGGGCGAATAATGAATCAGATCGGTCGTGGAGAAGGAAAAAAAGCCGATATATCGGCAGGAGGGCTAGTAGCCCTGTGGAGCGCAGAGAGGATCGGTGGAATGGGTCCAATTATTATTTGCCAATTTTCACCGCAATAATGCCGGAGCGACCGAGAGAATGCTAAATAATATGGGAACTTTCTACAAACGGCTCTCCGTGGCTTTCTATCGGCCACGGCTGGAATTGGAAAAATGCTTATGTGGGTCAGCGTCTCCGGCAGCGCACCGGGAATAATGTGTATTTCAGAAACGACCATTACCGCCGCTGCTTTCGTTTCTTACTCGCGCGCGCGTGTGTGTGTGTGTGTGTGTTGAAGGAACATGGCGGAAAAACCATGGACTGATGTAAATTCGATGGAACCAGAACTGCTGGCCAATGGTCCATTGGGTTATTGGCTGGATGAGTTGTGTATTTTCATTGGAGGTAGATATTTCATAGGTAAAACGTGGCCACAGCAGCGACGCGGAGAAAGCTCATGAACCCGACTCTCATGCCTGATCACGAATAGATCACGGAAGAACAAGAAGCCACGGGGTTTGCAGGATCCTCTTTCTACACTGAATTCGATTCTTGTTTAGTTGAGTGAGACTACACGTTCGTGAAAGGGAACACATGAACATGTCTGAGGCTTCTGACGATACCAGTTTGTCTTAATATTAACTGAACATCCGTTTTTCGGTAGAGCAGTACAAGTGTGATAGAATAAATAGACAAAAATTTGGAAAAAATACTTGCATTACGGAAAGGTACTCTACGATCGTTAATTAGCCCTCAGTGTACTGAACTATATACCTACTCGATTTTCAAAGCCGTGCTTCTCCCTTCGTCAACGACTCGTCGACGGAGACAGAGAAGCGGAGGAACGATTGACCGTGCGTCAGCAAAACAAATTGCATCCTCGCGAGGATTTTTGCCTGGGAATTAATGGAAACTCCAGGTTTACTTTGAACGAAGTACGGCATGCTCGAACCTCGAAGCGGCACCAGTCTTCAATTATTAATAAATTGAGGGCAGCCGCATACCCGCGCTGTTCCCCGCGACACTTTTCCCTCCGTCAGCGAGGCACAAGTGCCCTCATAATGTCCACGATGTAAATAAGTCGTCTATCGAGTCTGAAAAGGGGTGAAAACAGCCGTGTTCCGCGATCTTTATTTCTTTTAATCAGTTTCAATTTCGTCGCTCGATCTCTTCGACAGTCCTGCTCCAAAGTCCCTTTCTAGATCTAACTCGAATGGTTCCGCGATTAACCTCTTTGATACAGCGGTAATAATCTTTGTATAAAGGATCGTAGAAGAATTCTATCGTACTACAACTACTTGTTAGCATTGTATAATTTATCCTCTGATTCCCATCAAAGAGAAAAGATTTCTTCAAAACTTTTCACAAATAATTTGGGAACGATAGAGGGTTGAAGAATTCAGTGTGTAACACTCACGTGGTCAATGTTGATCTCGCCCTTGTACATGAACTCGACCAGCACCTTGATGTCCGAGAACTTGACGTCGCGCATTATGACGATGGGATCCTTTTCCTCGTACTGGGACAGAATTGTGTCGAAGTATGTGCTGCACGCCGACAGAACCACCTGGAAAATCCACGGGAAACGAAAAAGGGACGTTAATGAAGAGTGTGTGGACGACTCGAAAGTTTCGATGTGTTGCAAATCGAGGATCGAAAGGAGGGGGCAAAAACCGGTTGTACAAACGGGAACCACGTCCTTGACAAATATTCCAGTTCATTGGACACGAAGGAAATCAAGGACGCCGTTAATTCGTAGTTTCGAATTTAAGGGCATGCGACGTCGGGTCATGTCGTTCTTCATTAATTACGCCGAAAATTGCCAAAGTGTGCAAGTGCAGAGAGGGGTATTTTAGTGTATATAGGCGATAACGGCGCTGTAGATCGTGGAGACGATCGAATTCTTAAAGGATGCTTCCGAATAGCGCCGATAAAATATCTATTTCCGCTTGGACGGCCGAGCCGGCTACCACGTGCAGATCTGTCATGAAAGTCAATGAAGCAGTCGACGAACAGGCTACTCTCTCGTTTCCTAGCCGCGTCGATTTTCTTTTTTCTTCCGTGGTAAAGCTTATTACACACCTACCTGAACGCTTCAATCTTTTCGATCGTGTCAAAGAGAAAAAAATGTTTCGTGATCAAAGTAGGACTCAAAAATAGATCGTTTCGAACGTATGTATCAGCTGGTTAATACAAAAAGCAAACGATAATCGAAGAAAATCGAACGTTTCAGAATCTAAACAAGATGAACGAATTTCTTAGGTAGATCTTCAATTGAGTCGAGCAGGAAAGACAGGTGGTGAATCGACATCTAGGGGGCAAATGGAGCAATCTTCATAAATGAAACAGCGAATCAAAGGGGAAGCAACGTTAAATTGGATCGAATCGATATAAAAAGAGCTCAAACAGGCACGATTCAGGTCAGATTAATGGGATGCAACGGTAGGTATCCCACTCTCCTTCTGCACAAGGAGACCGGTACGCAAAAAATTGACGAATTCGCGAAGTCACTTATAGCTTGATATAAAGTCTCAAATCACATAAACAGCTTAGTCAGAAACACAGGGCTTTATGATTCCAACCGTATTCCTTACAGAATAAAAGTTCCGTTCCCTTTGAATGTCAGTTAATGTCTATTTTTTTTTAATTGAATAGATTTTTTTTATTGCTTTCTTTTTTTTTTGCAATGTTCCACAGATTTTTGAAACGTTTCTCTAGCCACTTCTAGTGTTAGATTTATCAGTCAGTTAGATATAACAAAAATTAATCTAAGGCCTTACTAGGAAGTATATATTACTTTTGTATACGTTCGGAGAAATCCGTTTAGCCTTACCACCTCTGTTTAGTAAAGATCTAAATGATTATGAAACGTGACAAAAGGCCCTTCGGTCCCAAGCGGGGTCGTAGGCAGTATACAGTGCCTCAGTTCGTAGACAGTGCTCTTACCATCAAGTAGAAAAGCGAACCTTCCTTGTGTCTAATAAAAGTTTATAGTTTAAAATAAGGATTATTAATTATTTAACAACCAATAACTCCCATAATCCAATATCTAGATCCTCAAGAAAGTAAAAAGCTCAAAGTAATCCATTATAAGCCTCTCTCTTAGCTTATGAACTGGCCACGTGTCAGTAGGTGGAGTTCTATACACAGGAAACTAAAAACTAGGAAAAAAAAAACAGGATCAGTTCAGGTCACTTTAGATGCGGAATAAACCGAGGCCTCCGGTGTGGTGAATCGGCTCAAGTGTACAACGGGCTTAAAACCGCGCTCCAAGAACGGCTTCGCACTCCCACGCATTTAGCAGAGCAGTCGAACAACCCGGTATTTCTGTCAATCGCGATTTTATTTGCTGATGCGTAGTTTATAAACGACACATCCTCTGTCAGTATCCTGTCCGATCGTAATTTCCCTCTCGCCCTCTTCCCCTTTCCTTTTAAACGTTAATCTGGTTCTCCTGGAAATAGAGAGAGAGAGAACATAATCTTGTAAACGGTGCTTCGCGTGAGGGGAAATTTATTTTCCAGCGACGAACATCGCGTTCGATATACAGCCTTCGTGTGCTTACTTCGAAAAATATCAACATCGTCGTTATACGGTGTACAAATTGTTTCGAATCTCTCGGAAATTTATCACCTTCGTTTCCCGTTCATTAAGTTGTTTGTTAGCCGAGTTTCCGTGTAGAATATGCATAGTTCTTTGTCCAGAATCGTAAATCAGAGTAGCTTAGCCCAGATTTGTCAGCTATCGTCGAGAGATGGCCGGATACTAAATGCATTTCCATCGAAACGTGTTCGACGCTAAGAATTATCCTAGTGATTTCTCCTGGGCATCGATCGAGGATCTCTCTCGACTTTCTTCCCGTGGAAAAAAAGGGAAAATTCGACGTGGCCATATTTTAGAGCCCGGAACTCGAAGACCCAGTGGCAAGAATCATTCATGATATTGCCACGAATCGCTCGAAAGTTTTCTGAAACGTCGTAAAACAACGTAGAGCCGTGCTTTATTCCAGGTGTATGCGTTTGACTTGTTGCCAATAGGCATGCCAAGTAGGCACGCACAGAAATGACCAAAGATGGTGTTAGAAAAGAATATTTTTGAATGAAAAGAAATGAACGGAAACATGATGCTTTTTCCTCGATCACGTACTCTTAATTGTCAACCGAAAACGAGTACACGATTTTCCTTCTTCGAACATTTACATTTTATTTCACGTAGTACAGGTAAACCCACCCTGTAAATCCTGTTCTCTTTTTCTCCCAGTCAGAGGTCTTTCATTCCTTCGTCTTTTTTTTTTTTTTTTGGTCGCACGAGCCAGAGATTTCTATCGACTATTCCTGTATACGCACATATACACACGTACACGTCCGCGCACACAGCAGAGCGTTCGCGTAATTCCTTGAAAATTATTATACGGAACAACAATGGAATTTTACATGCAAGTAAAATGAAGCAACTGAATACGCATTAATTCGTAGCATGGTATTGTTGTTGCGTTGCGAAAGGCCCGTTTCGTTTTCGTTGCGGATCATTTATTTTTTAACCCCTTAACCGTGCTGCAAAACAGCCCCTCCGACCCCTCTCGGTTGCCATTTTGTTTTTCCCGATTTTCCGCCCTTTCTTCCACCTCGTTTTGTCTTTGTTCGAAAGGAAAACAAACGTGACTCGGGCTGTATGGGTGGCATTATCGTTAGAAACGGTTGTTGACCGTATCGAATCGTCCGATTTTTGCACGAAACGCGAGTACGAAACAATTCAGCCAATTGCTGAAACGTCGAATTTGATTGCCGGTTACAGAAAGAACGTCGGATATTGCGCTTTTCCCTGGAAATAATTGCTCAGTTAAAGCGTTAATCGTTTCATATATCAAACAATTTTCCGTCAAAAGGAACCTCGAATGTATCCTCGCTCTCTCTTCCTCGCTCGCTGCAAAATTTTCATTGCAACATTGATCACTCGCCCACCTCTCTCGCCCTCCCCTCTTCCACCCCCCCTCCTCTTTTCCGTATACACGCACAAGCAAATCGTTTTTAATCAGAACCGCCATCAAATATCCTATTCTTCTCGACCGAAAAAAAACACGCATTAATCGTTTCGTACGGCACGAATGAAAAGCGTTTCCCGAAATTCCTGCGATGAATCGTATGGAAAAATTCGATTATGCTCGACATATCAAAGGATGTATCAATAGTGTAATTAAAAGAATTGCTAGCTCTGACGAGTACTCTTAGGGGATTGCATCAGGGTGTAAATCTGACAATTTTTTCAGGTACCGTTTCTACTGAAAGGCGATAATTGTAATGGAAGAGCAGGCTAGGATCGTTTTATTCGATTTCGTTCACTTTCTGCAATTATGAAAATAATTAGGATAGCTTATCGTTGTACGGCACTTTCGAGAATATCCCCCCGAAATTTCACGTGAATCTATCGATTGCTTCTCGAGATACATCCACCGTCTTAGAAGTCCTCCCTGACCAAGTCCCCGCATGGATTTGCATCGTTCAAACCTAATAATATAACCATCAATTTTCCACATATCGACGTGGAAATTGTCACAGTATATACACAGGTATATACTCTAACCTCGAAACATTTCGGTCGTACTCATATAAAAATTAGGAAATAGATGTAACCCCTTAAATAATAATAGACGACACTATAATGTGAAAGTTCCATGGACTCACAAAGGAGAGCACATCTAGCATGAGAATAGAGGCAGAGGATCGAAGAGAGGTACGAGAGAAGACGCGATCGCGAAAGAATGGTTTCCCATGGAGAGGAAGCCTCGGAACTCTCAGGTATACGAAAGAGTAGGCTCTCTCTCGGCCCCGCCCAGTCAATAGCTTGAATATTTAATGTTAGAAGTTCCGTATTGATTTTCGCGATTTTTACGTCTCCGCAAATAAGGCCATAAAAGACCTTACGCCGGCCGAGTGTGTCTGTTCCACACGAACGAAAAAATGTGTGTCTGTGCGCGCGCGCTTGCTAGAGAGAGAGAGAGAGAGAAGGCAAGAGAGACGCGCGTTACTTTTCAGTGCCAGCTATATAACGCTTTTTATTATGCCGGGCCGCTTTTATGGGGAAATACTGCGATGAAAAAAGAGGAAGACGTCGAGACGCGCGGGGGAGGAAGGAAAGGGCAGAAGAAGAAAGAAATTGCACTGCCCGGGTTTCATATCGAGTCATTACGATCCCCGGGCACTTTCACCC